AACCATTTGGAAATGATGGCTTGTTATCATAATTTTCTTCCGAATGATTGGTTTTCAAAGCGAATGTTATTTATAAAATAAAATTTAATTTCTGGAATTTATGCCAACAATGAGCGAATGATGTACATAAACGGATAATATAAGTGAAATCAACAAAAACCTGAGCATCGAAATCATAATAGAAAGCATATAAAAATGTCTTACAAATAAATACGGTTATGGAGCTAAGAAAGACCTCTTAAAGCGGGGTAACATTGGAATCTACCATCTATAATGACACTCTTATAGTAGTTTTAGAATGTAGTTCACATGTAATCTGGTTTCTATGTAGTTTTCCTCTTGAGATTAATGGTTTTTTTCTTTTCTCGGTTCTTAACTAAGAGATTTTCATTTTTCATTGAACTATGTACTTTTTTTTAAAAAATTTCAAATAAAGAAAACGGATTTGATCAAGCAGAATAAATAAAGATCAAGCAATGCAAGTGAGTTCACTAGGCCTAAGAGCATGATCAATGAGAAGACTTAAGTAGGGTTGCTTAATAATTTTTTTATTATAAATTGTATTTAATTTCTTAGCAACTCATATTTTGGATTGCTAAAATCTCTTAAATAAGCAACTTTGAATGGAGTTGCTAAGGAAGTGTGTTTATTATTTAATTATTTTTAATTTTCAAGCAACCCCTTACATTCTCCCATTGATCATGCTCTAAGAGGATCGTAACTGTGCTAGCTAAGAAGATAATGCTTCACCAATTTGATTGTGAACATGGCTCGATTGTACTAATCGTAACCTCTAAGGATGGTTTCGAGGTTTTTCGTAGAACCATTGCGGGTTTAGCGAGTAAGGCTATCATTGTATTGGTAGCTGTTGCTGGTGGTTCGAATGCATCATTTGACAGGAAGACTACTGCTGCTTGGTATTGGAGTGAGATGCAAGCAGGGGAACAACCGTTTTACTCTCTAGTTAGAGGCAGCCAGTAGAACCATACTAAGAAGATATCAAACCCGAAGTACTTCTAATAAGTGGTTTGACTTGGTCCTTATCCTTTATTTTAGTCATTTTGACTTAGTCTAGTCTAGCTTAATTTCAGAGTCTGCAAGTAATTAAGAGCACTTCTCCATTTCCTACTTAGTAGGAGGAAAGTGTCTCACGTTGTATTTGTTTACGCTTTGTTTGTATGAACTCATTGCCTTATCTACCTAATTACTCGTATCGCTTGATCTTTTGTTTTATTCTGCTTGATCTAATCCGCTTTGTTTGTATGAACTCACTACCTTATCCACCTAATTACTTGTATCGCTTGATCCTTTGTTCTATTCTGCTTGATCTAATCCGCTTTCTTTATTCCAAGCCACTAGTAAAAAAGTTATAAAAGCAATACATAGTTCAATGAAAAATGATAATCTCTCACTTAAAAACCCAGAACTACATAGTAAAACTACTAAAAAAATGTGTCACTAGAGATGGTCGATTTCAATTTTTTTTTTTTTGCTAAATGGTAAATATTTCATTAATAAAAATGAAAACGTTTCAGGTTTACAAAGTAAATTATAAATCTAATGATATGTTTCTATGGCAAAAAGATAAAAACATAGAAAACATTATTTACTTTGGAGGTCTTTCTTAGCTCCATAACCGTATTATTCGAAAAACTTTGTAAAACTTTCTCATATTCTTCCTTTAAGGATCTCGATGCTCGGGTTTTTGCTGATTTCGCTTTCATTATTCGTTTATGTACTTGGATTTACTGATTTGCTCATTGTTTCGGTATAAATTCCAGAAGTTAAAAAAAAAATACAAATAACATCCGCTTTGACAACCAATCATTCGGAAAGAAAATTATGATAACAAGCCATCATCTCTAAATATTTTGGCGGATTATATAAAACATAGTCAAACTCATTATATTTAGAGAGAATTATGAAAATAGGCCAAAAGAAAATCAAAATTACAAAATTAGGCCATGTTTTCTGAAATTAAAAAAGAGGCTAATGTTGACATATTTATCCCTCTTTTAGATTATTAACAAAAAAATTATTATAATTTTGATTTCAACTCTACGTTTTCGTGATCGGACTCAATTTCTCCTGAGAGAGAGTGGAGACGACGTTGTCTTGGCCACGCTCTTGTTGTCTTGCAATGATATCGAGAGGTTAGGGGAACGAGTGAAGAGCGAGTCTCTAAGTCTAGATTAGTGCCTTCTCTTGTCGACTTTTGTCATCGTCTATGCTACTTGTGGACTTGCTTCGTGAAGGCATGGAGGAATCGGGGAGAGATCCGTGACTTTTATTTCTGTCGGAGATTTCATAAAGTGGTTGGATCCACCGCTTCCGACGACATACTTTGGGAATTGCATGTTTCTGGCGGATAGATACGGCCAAGGCGGCGGAGCTTGCCGAAGAGAAGGGATTCGTAACAGCGGTTGAGATCCTCAGTGATCTAGTGAAAGGATTGATTTCAGGAAAGGTAGAGACGATTGCAACTTGTCATCCATGTTTTAGCACTAGCTGGAAAAGTAGTATGTCGTAAGAGCGAGAGACGAATCTTGTGATGTTACCATTGTTGTATGCTTCTGCAGTTAGAAAAACAGAGAGTTAATCTTAAGGTTAAGCTGATAAATTAACTAACCTGACCTCAAGAGATTAATTGCATTACTTGAAGTGGAAAGCAAAAGCAAAAACAATGTGATCCTGGAGAAGAAAAACTCCATTTTTTGTAGTTTCAAGGTGAACTAAGAGGCTTTTAAAGAGATGAATATATCAAAATGCGGTGACTTGACATCCACGTTTTAATATTTGATGTTCAAATACACATAAACTTTTAGTTGATTCATTCATCTTTGTCCAGCAAATCATGTCAGATCTTTCAATCAAGTCTTTTTCCAAAAATCTTTGGTCCTCAAATCATATTATAAGAGCATGTACATTGGGTGCTCTCAATGGTGTTCTTAAAATATAAAATTATTAAAACACACACTTTCTCTTCCTTTTACTCAACTTTATATCTTCTCTTTCATCTTTTTACTCAATTTTTATTAATTTTATATTTAAACACTCTTTTTTTATTTTGAGAACACTATCTAAAARTACTACTTTAAGAACAYTCTYTCTCCCATGCTYTCAAYTTTTATTAATTTTATATTTAAACACACCHAYTATCTCHWCTMTTTCCTCAAATTTTATTAATTTTATATTCAATACACCCCACAAAAACACTCTCTTTCTTCTTTTTACTCAAATTTTAATAATTTTATATTTTAAGAACACACTTGAGAACACCCAATGTACATGCTCTAACAGAGGTGATCTTCTAAACATCACAAAGTGAAAAAAAAACATATATTTTGTGTTAAATTTTTCAGGATTGCATTTAAAATTATTTGACAATGAATACATAATAATGCCATTCATTAACTTTTGTGCACATTGTTTTACAACATCAAAAGCATTCACACTACTCATGATGAATGATTTAATTAGTGAAGCTTGAAACAGAGGATGGTTATGTCGATACAAGAAAACTGAGATATTAAAAACACTAGGCTTCAAGAGTTCACTACAACATACATGCTAGGTTATGGAGAGGTTTATTTTTCCAATCACGAAAAAAGAGTTGAAGTTTTAATTGTTCTTTTTTAATTCTTTAATTAGAGATTATTTATCTGTTATTTATTAATTATTATATATATAAAATTATGAATTTTTGTTTATTTAAAAAAAGGATAAATATGACAATATTAGCCTATTTTTTTTAATTTAAAAAAACGTGGACTATTTTTTTAATTTTAATTTTTTTGTGGCCTATTTTTATATTTTGAAGTTGATTTAGAAACAATGAATCTGCTACAATCTCCCAAAATAGAAACAGAGAAGACAAAAAAAAATGAAAACTGACGATGGAATACGCGAATAGAGAAGCGTGCAAGTCTTACAAAATCTTAATCTTTCCATACTTATCGATCACGTTATATTTTTGTTTTCTTCTACCTAACCAAACCAAAACCAAACAAATCTCTTTGATAAAAATTATCCACCTTTCGCATCTTCTTCTTCTCCGATCTCAATCCTTTTGCGAAAATGGCGACTACACAGCTCAAATCCGACGCAATCATGGACTTGATGAAGGAACATCTCTCGACCGATGCAGGCAAAGAGGTCACTGAGAAGATCGGTCTTGTCTATCAGATCAATATCGCTCCAAAGGTCCCTTTTTTCTTACACACA